AACGCTGGCAGGGAAGCACTGGTGGAGATGTGCGGAAACGAGTATGTGCAGAGAATGACGTTCGAGAGCTATTTGTACAAAAGATTAGCAGAGGGGAGCAGATGGGAAGACGCAAAGTTGATGTGGAACACCGTCGGAAGTCTCATTAAGTGTGAGATTGTTGGGAGAAGTGGGAGCCGGAGGATGGCTTTCTTCTAGTTAGTTGTATCATGTATCATGTATGTACCTTCTTTTCTGCTTGGAATTCTTATTTTCATGGAATGGAAATTAAATAACAAAGAGTTTGCATACTCTAAAGGACAACCCTGCTGCAACAGTGCACTAGAAAATGCGCCATTTTTCTCAACTTGTTTCCAATTCAGAGTTACTATGGAGTTTGGCCAGATGAGATGTATGTCCCCTAAAAGCAAAACAGACATCTCAATGCATACAAAACAAATGCACAAGTTTTATAACTTCTTTGCACCAACTAATTTTTCTACATTGAGCTATACTGTGAACTTAGAAAGATGTAAAAGCTCATCCTCACGCGTGAAGTGCGGAAGCTATATCTAGTTAGCTAGAACACACGAGGTTTGTGAAGATTAATTTACAAAATTTTATTACAACAATTCATGTTAATTGACGGCAGCTTGAAGATGAAAACGAGTTAGAATTGTACTAGGCAATGAATGTTTGAATACGTGCATGAATTTTAAAGGTAGAAAAGTGGGTACCAAATGGTTAGTAATTATGGAAATAATGATTTATTTTGTACCAAATTAGTGGTATGAGTTTCACATTCGTATGAAGACAACAGTTGAACAGAACACCAACCCTTCTTCTACGTCTTCTACTTCCAAGTAGCGACACAGAAACGGAAACAGAAGGAAGAACTGAAGAATCTGAAATTAAAGGAATTATATAATATGGGCGTGGAGGAGCAGGTGTTGATTGGTGTGTTATTGGGGATGGTGGCAGTTGCAGTTGGAGTTGCAGATCCACCTCAAGTATCCAATGTCACCGCCATGTACTTGTTGGGAGATTCTTCTGTCGATTGCGGCTTAAGCACTCTCTATTATCCTCTTCTCCACCGCAATTTCTCTCTGTTTCCTTGTGAAGCCGACGCCGACGCCGACGCCTCTACTCTTCTCCCTCACTTTCTTGGTACTCTCTTTTCTCTTTCTTGTTCGCATTTCTTGATAATAATACTCTGCAATTGCTTCAAGAAATGCCATCCTATGATTACTGTTTCTTGTACATCGATCTTCTGATCAACTGATCCCAAATTCAAAATGGACGAAAATCTACCGTATTCTTGCAGCTAAGAAGATAGGCGTGCCATACTCTCAACCCCTGTACACTCAGAACGGATCCATTGAAGCGATCCTAAATGGCCTCAACTTCGGTTCGCCACAAGCAACGATTATGAGCAGCAGCCGTAGCTATCAGTCCCTCAACCAACAGCTTCGTCAGGCACTCGACGCCATTCAGATGTTGCGCCTGCATCTCGGCCAAGACACTGCTCACCGTTTCATCCAATCATCCGTCTT